CCGGGCCGACTCGGACGTGTTCGTGCCCTACGGCTACCTGCGCGCGCCGCCCGCGCCGCGGCCCTTCAGCCTGCCCCGCAAGAGCCGGCTCGTGGCCTGGGTCATCAGCAACTGGAACGAGGAGCACGCGCGGGTGCGCTACTACCGGCAGCTGCAGGAGCACCTGCACATCGACGTGTACGGCGCGCGGGGCCTGGCGCTCGCCGAGGGCGGCGTGGTGGCCACCATCGCCGCCTACAAGTTCTACCTGGCCTTCGAGAACTCGCAGCACACCGACTACATCACCGAGAAGCTCTGGAGGAACGCCTTCGCCGCCAGCGCCGTGCCCGTCGTGCTCGGGCCCCGCAGGGCCAACTACGAGCGCTTCATCCCGCCCGACTCCTTCATCCATGTCGATGACTTCCCCAGTCCCTGGCGCCTGGCCGCCTACCTGAAGTTCCTCGACAAGAACAAGCCCAAATACTGGCGGTATTTTGCCTGGAGGAAGAAGTACGAGGTGCACGTCACCTCCTTCTGGGACGAGCACTACTGCAAGGTCTGCGAGGCTGTACGCATGGCAGGGGATCAGGTCAAGACTGTGCGCAATCTGGCCAGCTGGTTTGAAAGCTGATGTTCTGGGGGGAGGCTCTCCTGGCCTCCCCAGGAATGGATTTAATGCAGGTTGAGCGCGGGAGGCTCCCAGAGCTCACCCGTGTGGCCATGGCGGTACCTGGAGGCCTCTCGTCGGCAAGGAAAGCCCGCGGATGCAGGCAAGCAAGCTGTGAAAAGTTGATGAAAGGGAGATTTTTTACACACGTGCAACACAATGAAAATACAAAGGCCATCATGCAGCTCTGCAAGACTAGAGTTAAATTAAGCTTCCAGAAGTCCTGCAAATCCGAAACCTTTAGGGTTGTGCACAGCTAGACATGTATCATCCACGCCAAGTTCTCCAGCTGTACAGCTGAAACCAATTTTGTCAGCAACGACAGCTTCCTGGACTGTGAAACCTTCTCCTGCTCACAGGAGATACGTGATCAGGGCTGGCGCTCTGTGCTCGGGAGACATATTTTCACTACACAAAGGCAAATATATCCCACCATGATCAGTAGGGATATGAAGAAGCTTTTGCAGACAGATTTTGAGCCTCAAGTGTTGAATGGAAGAGTGTCATGATGTAATAGCACTTTTTATTTAGCAATGTTTTAAATTGCAGCAACCAAATAATAACTCCTGGAGCGAAATAAAAAATCCAGTTAGGAAAAAAGTGTGTGGAAGAGCCTGGATCTGAGTGGAACAGACACCTCAGACAGAATGAAGTATTTCTTCCACTGCCGACCAAAGCCAGGAACACATTTATCCTGTATGAAACTAGAGAGGAGCTGTAAGTACAGGAGGAAAAAAAAAAGGGAAAAAAAGAGAAAAAAAATGTAGAAATAAAGTTGGAGTATTCCCACCCCTTGCTTTATTCGGGAATTAATTGATGTTTACAGGAGTCTGCTTGTTTTTCCCTGCAAAGCTAGTGCCATGTAGGAAAAAGCCGGGGAAGGCTCAGAACTGCAGATTTTTCTTTTTGTTGCTCTCTTGGGTATATATGCAAAAGATTAATTTATTTCTCTCATAGCATTAGAATATGTAGAGATTATTTGAGTTTATAGCCTGCGTTTTTAAAAGTTACACCAGGTGATGGACTAATCAGACTATTTTTTTTAAAAAAAGTATAAGATTCCTAAGCCAAAACTTTCTCAGTCTGCAGAGAAAGCTTGCAGCAGTTGTTCCCAACCCTTTCAAAATCTGCCGTTTTCCTGGACTAGGATCTTCCTAGTTACTGGTGGTTGGATGATGCCTTTCGGTTACTTGTATGTTCAAATCTGGAAAGAAATTTCAGTCATGATTTCCTGGTGCTCAGTGCATCTCCCTTTGATCTATCCTTTTTACATCTACTTTTGTCACAGGTCACTTAAATGTATAGAAAAATCTGTTCTTAAAAGTAGCGAGCTAGATTTTTTGCTATTTAAAGCTGCACTGCTTTTCAACAGGTTGCTAAAAATAGGCAGTTTTTCAGTATTTCTAAATTCTTCAGCATTCCCTGAAAGCTCCTGTGTAATCAGTAGGAACGCATCAGGCCATTTCTAAAGATTGTACCTGATCCCGTTTTCTCAGCGTCTCCGAGAAAAGAAGGAATTGAAATCACAGAGTAACTGGAGCTTTATAATTGCGTGAATGTTTCCTGAATTTTATCTGAAGCCTCATTTTGAATGAAAAAAATCACAATTGTGCTGTATTTCTGAGTCACGTGTTGATCATTTTCAAGAATTTTACAAAGAAAGGGCTACAGTTTTGTAAAAACTATTGCAAAGTGCTTGCTCAGGAAGAAAAGCTGCCGTCTCCAGTTTCATACTGTCTGCGTGAGCATTGCAGAGATTCCCTTCAGGTTTGGAAGTTCAGACTTGGTCTACAGTTGCTGAAGTCACTTACGCAGCATCTCTATAAATCTAGTCTGATTTTTGGCTTGGTGTACAGACTGACAGACACTAAACTAATGGTAGGCATAATTTTATAAGCAAAAGACTGTCTTCTAAATTCTGCTTTTAGACTCCAAATTAAGTGTTAAAAAGAAATTTGTATTAGCAGAGTGATTGTAGATCATGTACTAGACTCCACAAGATGCTGCAGGTGATACATTTAATCCAGCCATAAAAAATAAGACAATTTATTTTCTATTCTAAATACAAATATCTTTTCAAATGCATTTTGCAAAAGTGGTTTATTCCATGCCTAGAGTTGTTGGGGTGGCAGTGGAGGAAATGAAGGCAACTATGTTCTTTTCTAATGGGAAGAGTTAATATTACTTTTTGATTATGGCTTAAATGGAATGAAGAAGTATGTGATCCTTTCCTTTACGTTATATAATGCTTGTATTGTATCTCAGGGAGTTTGATACTGTAAAGTCTCGTATCATCATAGAATGGAGTAGCTTTATATTTGTATTAATTATTTAGATTAACACTCAATAAAACTACAGAAAGGAAGCGGTGCAGAATGGTCCTGTTTTATTATTTCCTCTTGTTCACATGTTATGAAAGATAGTGGTAAAAAATGCCTTTTGAAGAGAATTCATTTTTGCTTTTCTGTCTTTTAATCAACAGAAGTGGCTGATTGTTCTCAAAGCAACCAGGCCGTCTGAGGCTAGAAATGAAGCCTGGTTGTGCCAGGGGAAAAATGTTTTCATTGGAGAGGCTCTGCTGGGTTATTTTCACTGTGAAAAGGAGCATTTATTAAAGCTGGATGTCTGCTGAGAAAGCATCATTTCAGAAAATAATACTCTTCCTTGACCAGCAGAGAATTTGCCACTGCTTGGATTTTTTTTCCTTAAATTTCAGAAGGAAATGAAGATTGTGCTTACATCAATACTCAGCACATATTGCTATAACTACCTTCTCCTGTGGTCTTTTTTTTTTTCAGTTCATCCTTGTCTTCAACCAAGCAACAAAAGTCAAGGGGCCCAAATTGCTTCTGCCAAAGTTTTTGTTAATGTTAGTTGGAGCAAAGTTGACTTTTTTTGTCCCTTTTTACTCATCTTCTGCACCAAATAGTCGTCAGTATTTCAGTTTTAGCATTTCTGTTAACACATCCTGCCCAGCCAGGATGTGGCAAGTGCTGCGGTCTTCTTTTTCTCCTCAGGTGTTTATGTTATACCACTGTTATATTCAACTTTTGCAAATAGAGCATAAACTGGCTGCTTGTTTACTTGTGCCCAAGAAGGGAAATGCTTAATTGCTGCTTTTCCAGATGTGATTGAGCTCTGCATGGCAAAGACTGAGGCAAATATTTTTCTGCCGAACACTGAGTGCATTTATTCAAGCCCATTTGCTGAGTATGAGAAGTGAATTGTGCCTGATTAGTTTAAAAAATCACTAACATGTCTCTCTTGAGCAATTATATAATATGGTGTTTGTTTTAAGGGTGTAAATAGTCGTTTGTCGGGTGCACAGAGCTGGCTCAGTCTAAAAGCAGTTGGATTGAACACAATGACTTCACACTGATTTAAGAGGTATTTAAGTAAAGCTAAATCAGGTACCAAGTACAGGATCCAAAAATATGTTACTAATCAGAAAGAAAGAAAAGTTCTATTAATAACTCAGATGTCTCATGCAAATGGATGTTCAATAATTATGGTTTGGGTAATTCTGTGTTTTTTTCCTAGTCAATCTGAAAGCAATGCTCAAGGCCACGGTATCTGCTCAAATTCTGCAGGGGTTTTTCTTTGTTATCTTGAGCTAATTACTTGAGTGGACGTTTGGCACAGGGACTGCCCTTCCCGAGTCCCAGTACAAGAGGTGAGGAGGACAAGGTCTGTTTTTTTGGGAGCACTTGGAAAGGGGGGCCATTCAGCGTGTCCAGGAAGCGTTCTGCAGCTACAGGAGCTTGAATTGGAAAACCTTCTCTTAAGAAAGAAATACATCCCTAAATCAGACATCATACTGCTCTTGCAAAGTCCTTTAAGTCCCTGCAATTACCTAATTTTGTGGGTTTAAATCTATGTTTAGACCTATGTTTTGTCTGGCTTAATGCTGGTTTCTTACTCACTCACTCTTCCTCAAATGCGCACAGATCTGTGGCTCTGCTGGCCCTTCTGAGGCCAAGCTGGGAAGTGGATGTTTGCTGAGAATTTTTGGTATGATTTTCCTGTTGTCCTGATGTAAATGGGAGTAAGCACTAGAAGCTGAATAAAAATTAGATTGGTGTTAGTGTTTTAAAGGTTGAGGTCTTATGCTGTGAATTCGCTATTTGTTTATGAACATTATTTTGTCAAGGATGCCTGATGCTTCCTTGCAATTTGCTTTCTGTTACAAATACAGAAGCTGCTGCCATTATAACAAATCTAGATTTTATTCTTAAATATAGACATTAAATGCATTCTATCATTTTACAAGCATATTGTAAAATCATAGGAACTGAAAATACTGATGTACCTGAAAAGAGAAAGCAGCCCTTGAATTCACAGCACCAGGCTAAGGGCCAGGAGGTTTTTGCTGTGGAAATTTCCACTGCGGTTATGGATAAGTTATTTGCTGTTCTCTCCCAGACCCTTCTGAAGTGCTGGGTCTGTTGTGCACTTTTGATTTAGGTCCTCCAGAATGGAGCACTTTTATTTTGCAGAGGTGCCGGTCTATCTGGGATCATTGTAGGGAGGAAGGAGACCACATCCCTCCTGTCCTCTTCCCTCTTGTAAGGTGAGGTCACGTCTGGTGAGGGGCAACCCCCCTGTGCACAGGAGCCTTTCAAAATGTCACAGGAGGCAGCCACCCTGCTGCTTGCTTGCTGGGTGGGAAGGTGCTTCCAAGAGCTGACACCAACGGGGGTTCATACACTGCTTTTCCTGGAATCAGGATTTCACTCAGTTTGTATCTGCTCTAATGAAATTGATTCCCCTTAGTAATGGGTAGAATTAGCCACTAAACATAGTGCTTTATCTGCTTTGTTAAAATGAGTTCTTGTAAAGCTATAAAAGGAGCTTAATACCGTATCCTAGTATACATATCTATTGTCCTCAGTGCTGAATGTTCAATTTTCAATTAAATAGCCCTTGTATCTTTTAAAGTCTGGCAAATAGAGAGGAATTGGATC